TGGAACTACATGCAGGGAGTGAATAAATGCTGGGTATTAGTGTGACTTTATATTGTCTTCCTGTGCCAGTAAAGTAGAGAGAGCGAGATCATCAAGCCAGAGAAGATGAAAGCAGTGCTGAACGCTCCAGAGAGGTGAAAAGTAGTGAGTAAATGACCTGGAAATTGAAAGTCTGGGTGAGAGTTGTAAAATACGGATGCCAAGCAGCTACGAGTCACTGCAATATAGAAATTATAAAACTAAAATGAATCTGATCAAAATGTTTATTTCTATGCTCCAGCCATGTTTGGCTTTCTGTTTCTAAGAACAGAAGAGATTTCGATTAGCATAGCTTTGAGTTTAGGCACTTAAATATAATGAAGAGAGAGTCAGCTTTGAAACTGAGGCTGGGTGGAGAGTAGTGGCCTCAGTGACTGTAGGATTTGAGCTCCTAAGGACGAGAAGATTTGAGAAGAGCAACACAGTGGGTGAATAATGTGGGATCTATTCTTGGCAAACATTATTATATGATTGTATTGGTTTTTGTCAAAGTAGAACAAATGTATTGGAGAGGTGGAGTGCTGTGGAATATCTGAAATTAAGGTCACCCACAAGTTTCAGTCATTGGTAGTGGCAAGTCCTAAATCGTGCCCTGGCAATAAGAAGTGGAGTGTCAAACAAAAGGTTTTGGGACGTGAGGGGCTGCAAGACCTGAGAAGACAGCTCAGAATGGTTACAGACACTGAGTGTGAAGACAGAATTAAAACATTCAGGCAGCAGGATGAAGTATCTGGAGACTGAAACAGAGAGGAGTGAGACAGCATGTTTGTTAGCGGGAGGTATTTACAAAATAGCTAAAATAATCTGAATATAGGAATGAAGTACAAGGAGAAAATATATTGTAGTGGTGAGATAGAAATGGGAGAGAAGATTACTAAATTGAAAGGGCAGCAGGGGAAGCAGTGTGCTCCAAGCAGTCAGGTCACAAGCAGAGTAAGAATGAAAAAAGAAGCATTTATAGATTCGCTTAAAAACATAAGGAAATGTCTTTTGGAAGAATATGAGTTCTAGAGGGATCAGTGGAAGTATTTTGCAAGTTAATACACAGGGTCAAAAAAGGAGCTCCTAGAGCTCAGGCCCTTAGAAGTTAGCCCAGCCTCCAAGTCAAGGTTATTTTGAAAGGAGCCATAGCCACTCACAGTAGACTTGCAAACCTAGAAAGACATTGCTGTACTTTCCACATCATCAAGATTTTGGTGCTGTGTTATAATAGCATACTTGTCCAAGCATTTTTACCATTTCCACATGAAATGTTCCTATTGGTATAGGTGAAGATTGGAAAACAATGATCATGAGGATTTTTAGAGTTTCCATTAAGATTATTCACAGTATGACCTATGTCTTCCTATTAACAACTATTAAATTTTATTTTTAAAAAGTCAAGGGATTAACCTTTAATACTTTATTACTCATACATTTGTTCTTGTATTCTCACGTCCACACATGTGTCCACTGAACACTGATTTTATTTCTATATAATGCTTACATGATGGTGAGTTTCATCTGAAATTTTCTGTCTTGTAACCAACAAGCAGATTATTTTACACAAATTGTATATGGTACTAGAAATAATTGTAGATGGTTAAATATTATTATTCAGTTAACAAAAGTGCAAAATGTGCTCCTTATGAAAATTCCAAGTTAAGGCATGTATATGCCATGCAAGAAGAGTTACAAAAGAGAGATTTCCATCAATAAAAATCTGAAACAGCTAGCTCAAGGCATATTTAACAAGTGCACTCTCCCTGTTCTACCCAAGTTGAACTAATGCATTTAAAAAATAAATCAGATATTATTTTATTTAAAAAGGATAATGAACTTATATATTTTCATATACATTTGGTAATAATGATGAATATGCTTGTGTTTCTTACTTTAAAGACTTTTTGGTAGCCTGAAGTTCAGCTAACTTGCTTTACATCTTGCAGATATGCAAGCTCTTTCCACTAACATGAAAGTAAAACTGTAGTTAAACTTACTGGAAATTTATCTAATGTTTTCCTATCCTAGTTCACATTTTTTTATTTAATTAACTATGAGCTGTACTATGTTAAATCCTCGGTGAATTGTTAGAATTAAAAATGAGTGAAATGTGGGATGTGCTTGCTGCTGACTTCTTAATAAAGTGATTATCGTTAACAGGTTTTGAGATCTATTATAGGTATTTATCTTTAATTAATTCTGTTAATTAGTTTGACATCTATGGTTGGATGAAGCTTCTGAATGGTATTTTTAATTTTTCTGGCATATTACACTGTCTTTTGGAGTGTAATATTGCTTTTTTTTTGTTAGTTATAGCCTCAGGATGAAGAAAGAAATAATGTAAGGGTTTAGAAAATGAAATTCATGAATAGAGTAATTTGTGCATTTGGAGAATGTTTTCATCATTTCACTTAGGAGGACCATCTGATATTACTTGGTGATGTGCTGGTTAATCCATCTTTTATGTTCTTTAGAGGGACAGAATAGTGTATAGCCCTGGGATACACTGTTACAGACTTGGCATTAGTGAAAGCCACTTGGCCTGAATTATGGCACTAGGCCAGCCCTGAAGACATGAAATCAGTCAGGTTTCTAAAAAAGAGGTAAGAATAATATTGTTCTCAAGCCCTAATTTCACACATCATCACTCAAAACATCTTCAATGTTTACAGCTTCTTTTAAATCCCATTTATCAGCATTCTTAAAACTGATTTGGGGCATGTTTTGTTGTTGTTGCTGCTGATGCTGTTTCTATTTTGTTTTAATTACTGTCATTGGTATTATAGCATAATTAACATTTTACTATTCTTTTTATTGTCAACTGAAGTAAAGCTAGACTGAGTCATTGGCAGGTACTCTTCCTCTTATATCACTGAATTTTTCTCATTTTTCATACAGATCTAGTGGCCATCTGTTCTAAATTCCCATCTCCAAGTTAAGTGTTTGCCATATAATGAATTTGGAAAAAATAAACCCCTACCTAAGATACTTTAAAGCATGTAGTACATAAAAATAATAGCTTGTTAATAACATGCAAATTGCTACAGAAAGTTAAATTGACTTCTCTAGCATTTGAGCTAATCTGTTTATTAATTGACATCTTTGCACCATTTATAGTCTATACTGTCATAATTTGAATGGCTCTCTGATTTTTATCAAAGAACTGAAGTGTGAGCTTGAATACATAGGCTTTTTATGTGCCAGAAACTGCCTCATTATCAGTCATCAATGCAGCTGCCTCCTGGTAGGCAAAACAATTGAGCAAGGTAATAACCTAACTATGAGGCTGCAGCTAGACTGCTTTTATATGTATCCAACTGTGAAGTCAAGTGAGGCCATTCATTTATGCCCATTCAGTGTCATGTCAGTGCAGCATTGCAGGGACTCTGGGCCACTAGGGGATGTCTATTTAGGGCTCTGAGAAATTGGTCTCAAGGATACAGAGTGATGAGTGAATTCCTAACCACTTATATGACTGCACCCCATTAATCTCTGGTTTACTGTAGTTTTAATTTTAGTATCAACTGTGATGAAAACACTATTGGAGTCTTTATTCAGCTGTTTTCACGTCTAAGAAAGAGGAAGAAGAAAATTAAGGTCAATAATAGAGATCAGTGATGGTGAACCTTTGAGTGTTACTGTGTTTTTCTTTGATGACAAAAGATGTAATGCTTTTTCCAAATTAAAACTTCAGTATGCAGGTTAATTACAGTGTTGGCACCTTGTAGTAATAAGTGGGTTCTGGGTTGCAGTTTGGGCTCCTAGTCTCTGAAAGGTTAATATTCACTAATATAGATAAATAAAAACTTGGAGACAGGAACTTGGGGTTTTTTGGGGGGGATATATTGAGTTCAACATGGTAGAAGTTTTAAATTTCTATTGATCTTTCAAATACTATACAAAAGATTTGTGCTGTAAAAAGAATTTAATCACTATTCTTGAACATATATTATTTTAAATAAAATATCATATTTAGGCAATATATTTTTCTAGAATTTTGAGATCTAAATAAATATGTGTTCCAATCATTATTTTGATTACTGAAATAATATGGTTGAGCTGAATATGTACGTAATTCATCTGTTTTATTACATGAAAATCATTTGATTAAATGAAATAAAAATATTCAATTTTGACACTCTAAACAAAGGCCAACCCTAGCTTTAGACAAACCCATTTCAATGAACCACAAATCAATAATTTTTAATGTAATTATTGGTTAAATAGTTTTTCACATTTCTGTAAATTGAATGTAATTTCACTTTGAAGGAATACATGGTAACTCTTGGTCCCTTGACAATTGTCTTCTCAGTCAGCTTTGGATTGATTTAACATTTTTTGATTTGTTAATTATTTTATCAAGATGGATAAATTCACCTAAAGAAAACAATATTGCATAACAATTAGTAAATAAAAACAAATACTGGGGGGCTGAGTATTTAGCTCAGCGGCATAAGCGCCTGCCTTGCAAGCAGGCAGTGATGAGTTCGATCCCTGGTACCGATAAAAACGAAAAAAGACAAAAACAAACAAACAAACAAACAAACAAAAAACAAATACTGAGCTGCCAGAAGGTTTATTGGTTATGATTGCCATAGAATATAAATTTAAATAACCTGATCTTCTATTTCTTACTCCAGTTCAACTTGTTGCAGGATAAAAAAGGTAAACTTTTCAATTACAATGTAGTTATTTTTTAGACAATCTTTTAGCTTATAATGAAAGTTGATTTTTAATTTTACAGCAAATCTTTTACAGATACCATAAAATATAGTTACAGTAATAATTATATAATTATAGTTATATTAATAATTAAGTTTATATAAATACATTTTAACAAGTTATATTTCTAAGTAATCTTTCTAAAATTAATTTATTAAGAAAGAATATTTAGTTCATAATTTATAATTCAAAAATCTCTTTAAAGAAAAACATCTTCGTATGAATGAGAATATGCTAAATTTTACATTATTGGAAAAGGAAAATGGAGTGAGTAGTTACAGTTAAATATGGGACTGAAATTTTGAAGTGCTGTTACACAGTAGTATTAACTATAATAATATGCTGTACATTTCAGAAACTAGAATGGAATTTCAAAGATTTTATCTTAAAAGTAATAAATGTTCTAGGATACTGATTTGATTGTTCTGATTTAAAAATTGGATAAGTTCCACTTATTGAAAATATGTTACGCATTAATGTGTAAATTTTTTATGTATCAGTTACAATTATTTTTATTTTAGTTAGAGTATTGTTTCAAGGTAGAGCCATTTACCTAGAAATGCCTCAAGCTTATCTTTTCATGGCAGAGTAGTACTCTGATGCATTTAAAAAAAAAAAAAAAAACACATCTTCTTTATCCCTCCATCTGTTGATGGGCATTTGGGCTATTTCCAAGATACTGCTATTACAGATTGTGAACCTATAAACACAGTGATGCAAAAATTGCTGTGGTATGATGCTTTTTATTCTTTTAGGACTATACCAAGAAGGACAACAGTTAGGTCAAATGGAACCTCTAGTTGTAATTTTTTGAGGAATCTCCACACTTATTTTCACAGTTATTGCCCCAGTTTCCACTCCCAGAAACAGTGGAAAGGTGTTCCTTTTTTCCCCACAGCCCCACCAACATTTTTTTATTGGTTGATTTCTTGATTCCAACATTTTTTCCTGGAGATGGAATCTTAGCATTGTCTTAATTTGCATCCCTCATGAAAAGTGATGTTGAACTTTTCTTTCCATATATTTATTTGCCTTTTGTACTTCTTGATCTCAGAAGAGTCTGTTCATTTCAGATGCTCAGTTTTGGACTGGATCTTTAAATTTGGGTCGGGAAGCTCTGTGTAAATATTGCGTGTTTCTCTAGTGTGAGGAACCAAAAGTGTAAATAGAAACAAAATACATAATATCTATTGAGAAGTAGAAAGAAAATGCTCAAATGAGAAGAGGGACAAAAGAGGCTAGGGCAGTAAAGAAAGGACACGATTTTAAGAAACAGAGCTAAAGGAAAAAAAGGAAACAAAGCTTGTTAAATAAGGAGATGGAGGTGGCCTAATGGGAAGAGTGGGGAAAAAGAAAAATCAATATATATTACGCAAGGTCCAAATTCCACAAAGTGAATGTTACCACTATGTCTGACAAGAATGTACCAAAATAAAATAATGTAAAAATATTAATACAAGTTTGCAGACACAGTAATGGATAATATCAGTTTTGGTTACAGTCAAAATATTAAGACAGAAATGGTAAAATCATCACTGGGATATGTTTTAAAATTATTATAGAAGGATTAACACAGTAACCTATTCAGCCTTCCCCAACTCAGTCACTCCAAATCCTGCCTTTTCCTCTGGTGTTCACACCTTCTCTTCTATGCAAGCAATGTAACATCACTGCACATGACTTGTGCGCACTGTGGGTTTGTTTGGAGGCAGAGAGCTGCTTAGGGTGAAGTAAGCCACTCCACCAGACGCACCAGAAAGTGTCATGGAATACAACTTCCCCTGGGAACAAAATATGGAGACAAAAAGAGGAAGAACACATAGAGATGAATAATTCTAATTATAGTTCCAATTTTGACTTTATAATCTTCAACCTAGAGTCCATTTTCTTTGAAGCATCTACAAGTATATTAATACTTTGTAATACTTTGGTTCAGTCAGAGTTGTTGTTGAGGCCTTGGAATGTTATCCTTGCATTTGTAGTACTTCCACATAATCTACAGCTTTGTTTTCCATGCTTAAATTATCAGTAGTTGAACGTGGCCCCCAGAAGTTCCACCTTATGCACAATTTTGTTTTCTTTGTTGAGTTTACCTGTGAGTCAAAAAGGGCCAAAATAGTAAATGGACAATTCCAGAAAATATTTAGAGTGTTACACTGCATACCATTCTGCATAGTGAGGTTCAAGGGTTATGAATTATCACTTCATGCAGCATATTCAAGGTGGGCACACTGATTGCCCATTAGTCATTTCCTAGATATCTTACTCTTGCAATACACAGATTCCATAGAGCAATGTTTGCATTTCAGTAGCCACAATGATATGTAATAAAGAGTAAGTCATTCATCTCACTTCTTACCACTTACCATTTCCCATGACCACATGAAATACAAATACAGCACAGTAGGATATTTGCCAGCAAGGGGGGAGCCAATACCATATTGATATAGGGAAACAAAACTCCCGGCCTTCTATATGTCCAGTACAAGTTTGTGTTCTCTAAATTCAAAGAATGAATTTAGGAACAACGGAGTTTAAGAGCAGAAGTATTTATTGAGAGAAACAAACCTTCTATCTGAGAGAGAGAAAAAAAGGGGTCCAGTAAACCATGAGGTGAGGCAGGTCTAAAGTGAGGAAAACTGAGAACTCTCAAAGCAGATGGGCAAAAGAGGTGGGATAGAGCGATGGTGAACCAAGATGTGCGATTGTTCAGGTAAAATTGACAAATTAAGGGCAAAAGGGGAAGTGAGTCACACAGTAAGACAGTGTTCTTACAGATCAGTGGCTCTTCCTGCAGGAGATTGGAATGGTGACTCCTGGCTTCTCAAAGTAATCCAAACCTAATCTCTAATGTTTATAGTTAGGGTGTGGTTGCATTTGTTTTGTCTTCTGTCTTAAGATCTGGCCTGCTGCAAGAGTTGTGTGTCTTCTTCAAGGTCACAAGATATCTGGTCCTCTGTGCCAGCTTCTTCAAGGTCTATCCCTGTATGACTGTGTATAATATTTCTAATGAGCTCAGCTGCCCATAGCATCATTACTAAATTTATTTAATTGTATTGTGTTATTATTGGTGTTATCTTATTGTGTCTAACATAAATTGAATGTTATTATCTATAGGTATATGAGGAATACATTATAAATGAATCAATATTGTAAGTGGTTTCATGTCTCAGCTGGAGGTCTTGGACCATTTCACTTGTATATAACAGGGGCCTACTACACTTCTCCTGAATAGCCATGAGGCTGTTTATGTGGATTTAATTTTATTTCCATGTGCTACAATAAAGCATGAATTTTGGAGGGACGCATGCCATTAATTTATATGATATTTTAATGGACTGTTTAATATAAACTTATTTAAAAAGCATAAATAAAATAGACACTGTGTGATCATCTAGAGATAGTCCTAAATAATACTTCAAGGTTTATCTAGTGTAACCTATAGACAGAGATTAATTCATTTCTTTGTTTTCTATACTGGAATTGCCCACCAATTTTAGATAGGAAGCCCAGAAGCCCAGAACTTATTTTTCCTCCAATATCTTTAGCTCTCAGGTGTTAGATCTCAGGTGTATTTTTATTTAATTGTGTTTTCATTGAGAACTGAATCATTTGGTTTTTTAACACTATGCAGATGCATTCTTAGGACCCACAGGAACTTGGATTAATTGGTAAATATTTGGCAGTCCAGGAAAATGTATCCTGGAGCAGCAGTTGAAGTGAACAAGCTGTCTCTGATGAACAGCTTCAGATAAAGTAGTATGCAATTTTTAGATTGCTGGACAATGGTTAGGTTGAAAAACTTCTTGGAGATGAACGAATTTTCAGAGATTAGTATATGTAGTCTATATTGATTTTTTACACATGCAGGCTTTTAAAAAATAATATAGAATTTCAAATATTACAGATATATTTTGACTAAAATTTATTTATGTTTTTGTTGTAATAAGACCTATACTACTATCAGGATTACATATTTGGTATTGTAAGACTTTCATATTTATTTTGCACAGAAAGTGTAATATTTAAGACATATTTCATTGCTTGTGGTTTTATTTCCCAAAGAAGTTGTCTATATACTTATTTTTTATTGTTATCCCAAATTCTTTATTTCTAATGACTAATTATAGTATTTGTTTTTATACAGCCTTATTATTTTTCTTACAGATTTGTAGGAATTACTTAGTCTTATTATTAACTAGCTATATGTCTTTGCTGTTTTTTTCCTTAGTATCTTCTCCAATGTTTCAGATTTTCTTATTTTTTTTTCTTAAAATATAGATTTGGAGAAAGTAAAATGGGTACATTATTTTCATCTCCCCGCCTTTTCTTCTGGTTTGTATCTGTTTAAATAAACTTTATCTACTTGGTATCTTGTTTATATTCTAAAACTTTAAAAAAAAAGACAATATGATCATTGTTTTATTTTGAATTGACTTCAAAAGGTAGAATATCTATTAGAATTTGAATGTCAATCTAGCAAAAAGTCACAGAATTCACCCTCAGTCTTTCCAAGTTTTTCCTAAAGCTGCCTTTTAAAACATTTACAGGCTTGTGACCTCAGGATTGATTCTATCATCTGTTTTCCTTTAGTTGCCAGGAAGATTAGAGGTCCTAGTTATTTGTCTGACTGTTATCTTATACATATTGTCATCTCTGACTTCATCTGCATCCAAATAAGGTAAGTTACCAATAGCTTACGCCTTTTCTTTGTACATAGGCATGGTTTTTGGTTTCGGTACGACACTCCTGCTCTACCTCTGTACTTGAAGCTCCAATATTTCATGTCACAAATAAAGTTTTGCTGTTTTCTTAGAACAGGTTCAGAGCTTCTCAAACTTTAACATGCATGGGTTTTAGCCAAAAACATTTTTAAAATGCAGTTTTAAATCACCATGTCTGGTGATGCTATGGTTTGTGTTCGGATGCCCACCTCCCATCCCAAGCCTCAAACAATCATGCACGCAGCTGAATTTAGCATTTTTAATTGTTTTTCTGTCTAGCACTAGGACTGGTGGTCTGAGTGCTGCACCCACTCAGAAGTAGATCCTGCATGCAATGTCAGAGTATAAAGGTGGCATGCTCTTTCGCTTTTGTCCTGTTTGCTTTTGCTGTTTGGGCCACCATGAACAGCTGCCCGGGTGCCATGCTACCCTGCCTTGGAGCCAGCTGATTATGGACCGAATCCTCCACAGACAGTTAGCTAAATAAACCTTTCCTTCTTTCGTTTTTGGTGTCAGGTATTTTGTCTCAGCAACGAGAAAAAAGTAACCAAGACAGATGGATTCTACACAGCAGTTTGTATTGCATTGATAACAAATTACCAAGTCATACCAATTTTGTTGGTTTTAAAACCACACTTTAGCAAGTTTCTCATGGATTATCTAATTCAATTAAAAATATTTTCCCTGTTATTTTTGTGGCATTATTGGAATTATCCAACCAGATTGTAAGCTCCTTGAAAAGAGTTATATGGGATTCATATTTGTGTGTGCATGTGTGTTTCTCTCTGCTTTCATAGTATCTTTCACTTTTAGTAATCATTCCTTAATATCATTTTATAATTACTTTTATGGACTGAGTTTTAAAAGATAAGAAGAAGGAAGCCTCAAAATAAGCAATACATCTTATATTTTAGGTGGTGTGTGACTGTATGATGGGTGGTGTAGCATGTTATGAGTTAGGGAATTGAAGTTATGAGAACAATTTAATTTGTAAAGGCTAATATAGTGACTTTCAGAAAGAAAACCAACAAAGCAGAATAGACAGTGCATATGGAGAGACATTTGCAAGCTGAACTTGTTAGTATAAAAACAAAATAAACATATGGAGTAATAACCAAATGATTGGAGTGGTATCCAGAGACCATGGGAAGACCAGAACACTTGTAAAAGATGCCAGATGTGAGCAGCTATGATCAAGAAAGAGAACTGAGTGCCTCTGCTCAGAGATTCACTCCTGGTGAAAGTTTTTCACTTCCTAATGAAATAAACATCATCATATCCACATATATAGTAATTTAAAGTGAAAGAGGAAAATATAAAGAATTAATGATGTATAGACATTTACTTGAATACAAGCATCTTAAGTGTATAAAATGCCTTAATAGCACATCATATAAAATATAGCTGAAGTGAAATGACTTCTTAAACATATGAAGGACCTGGTAAGATAAGTCATTTATTTTTCATGGATTCTTGGTGCCAAACATAAATACTGAGATCATCTTGACCTCCACAGAGGCTTTGTACTCTATGCCTATGTATGAGTTCTTATCAGAGTACTGGGAATTTGCCAAGCTTTATATAAAACTGCAATGACTTTTAAGGCCACTCAGGCCATTCCATCTACTTAGAAATGAAATTAGGCTTCTTTTTGTAGGTTTCAAGCCATCTAAATTTAACCTCTATCTAGTACATCTTTAGCCATCAAAATTATCAATACTGTGAGTTAGAGGTAAAAAGTTTAGAGTCAGTCACCAGAAGATACAATTTTTAAGGTCTTTTATGAAGATTTTTCACATAAATTGGTTTTGCAAACACATGTAGAGAGAAATAATTAACTTTGAGGGTCACAAAGAGATGAGAATATATATATGTAGGCAAGACAAGATTTTCTTCCCTTATCATCCATTTTTCCTTTCTGTTCACTTAAAACATAGAAAGGTGATATTTCATAAGACAGAGAAATAGACAAATACTTTGTTTACCTAACCAAATATTCATTCCCATAATTTGTATTATTAGCTTGATGCATATACCTATTTGCTTGTAGATATTTACTTTGTAGGTTATGAAATCATTTAAGCCTCATTTGCTGGGTCCTAGAGATATAACAATATGATGCTGCTTTCGTTTTAAGTCACAAGCAGATGGAAGACAGTTTAAAAAAATGAAAAAGGAGGTTTCCTGGAAAATACAATAGTTTGAGGAACCAGAGGCAGGAGAAAATTAGTTGGTCCATAGCCAAGATAATTTCTACATGGACTTATTGGAAAACAAAGAAATGCTTTACAGATGGGATTCTGGGTATCGTGTTGAATGCATGAAAAGCAAATAAAAATTGCATGATTGGTCTGTATGTTGTACTTCTT